CCCCCGGGGGGTTCATATAGGCCAGCCGTTCTCAGGAGCCATTGAAATAATTTTTAGGTCTCCTGCAAAAATGTATTCATCGGAGGTCAGTGGGAAGAATACCAACCTTACAGACAGCTAAAAAGATCTGCATCAAGTGGCAAGTGGTGCTGGACACAGGTTAATGCAGATACTATCAGATGGGAGGGAGGGAGGTCAGTCACAGCTTAAGAAAATTCTAGCAACCTCTTAAAGGAACCGTGGTGGGAAATGGCTGATATATAGGCTGTAGAATCGCAGCAAGTGAATAATCAGTCTCTGGTCTCTCAGTTCTGAACCATCCAACTGGGGCCCCTCGGCCCTGAACCAGCCGACTGTGGCCCCTCAGCTCTAAGCCACCCAACTGTGGCCCCTCGGGTCTGTGTCATGCTGACTGCGACCCCTCAGCTCTAAGCCATCCAACTGCAGCCCCTATGCTCTGAGCCATCCACATATGGCCCCTTAGCGCTGAGCCATCCAACTGCGGCCGTTCAGGTCTTATGTCATTCTGATTGCGGCCCCTCAGCTCTGAGCCATCCAAATGCGGTCCCGTGGCTCCTCGCGCTGAGCCATTCAAATGTGGCTCCTCAGCTCTGAGCTATCCAAATGTGGCTCCTCAGCTCTGAGCTATCCAAATACGGCTCCTCAGCTCTGAGCTATCCAAATGCGGCTCCTCAGCTCTGAGCAATCCAAATGTGGCTCCTCAGCTCTGAGCTATCCAAATGCGGCTCCTCAGCTCTGAGCTATCCAAATGCGGCTCCTCAGCTCTGAGCTATCCAAATGCGCCTCCACAGCTCTTAGCACCCCGACTGCCGCCCCTCAGCTCTGGGCCATCCGACTGCAGCGTCTAATCCATCCAAGCCATAACCATACACAGCAGTTGCAGAATGGTGAATAGTGAAGCAATTAGCAGAAAGTGACTTTTGCTCCCTATTTCTATTTATGTTCCTTTGTTTTCCCTTGACTTTAGCCAATGTGTACATGAGAAGGATACAAATTATTATGTAATAGTCCATCTCGGTATTCTTCCCCCTGAGCTCTCCTGGTCTCAGTCACTCTTAACCTATTCTACTTTCTTACCAGACGCCTTCTTGGAGGTAAACTTGGGAAATCTATCAAAGAGATCCTAGGCGTGGAATTCATGGGTCAGCTGACCCAGTTCAGCGAATTATGTCTCCAGGGCCACTTTGGTGATAAAACCGGGTGAGTGGATTGCAGGTTCCGTCATCTTCTTTCTTCTCTTTCTCCTCCGTGTTATGAATGGAAACACCTGATGGAAGCTGCAATCTTTAGACTCCGATGTCAGACAATGGTAGCTTCCAACAGAGGTTTTTCTTTCACATGAAAACTTATTTTATTTCATTTCATGTTTTAGATCGTGGCTCTATAACCTGTGCCGTGGGATTGAGGATGAACCAGTGAAGCCCAGACAGCTGCCTAAATCGATTGGCTGCAGCAAGACTTTTCCTGGGAAGACAGCGCTGTGCACACGAGACCAGGTGAGGGAACCTCAGAACAATGACCCGGCAACTACAGGTCTGCAGAGAGACCATGTGACCCGCTTTGTCTTTATCTGTGTAGTTTCATTGGCTGCCTTTTTATATTATATCTTAAACAACAAGAACTCTCACTGTTGCTATAAAGTAACCATTGTGGTTCTTCCCGTGCAGTGAGTACGGCAAAACAGACAATTCTTGTTGTAGACATTTTAATGAATGAGGCGCTGTGTGACGTGGTCTTCTCTCCGGCAGGTGCAGTACTGGCTCTTACAGCTGTCTACGGAGCTGGAGGAGAGGCTGAAGAAGGACAAGGACACAGTGAGTATCGGCCAATGTCAGGGGTATGTGTTCCCAGCCACCTTTGGTAGTCCTATACATGGACTGGGTGACCCATCACTACCATATCTCTATTAAAGCTTCAATGGACTTGTTAAATTGGACAGATCATGCGCTGCCCTCTGGTTCTCACAAACCCCTGCAGTAGCTGAACTCCAGGCAAATAGAACATACATAAAATGAATGCGGCTCTCTATTCAGTTCTACATAATAAAATGTATTTTTTCTTAAATGCAAACAAAATAAGTGCCTCTATTTGATTTGGTATGATCCTCTTGCAGTCCCTGTACAGCAGAGCTTGCACTGGGTGAAGGAGAAGCAACACAAGGAGCTAATCAGTTGTGCTGCAGTTCTCTTGTGGTAACAAGGAACATGCTGATAGGAGGATAGAACAGTGACGGATAAGTTCATCAGTCTGCTGCTTCTCCTCTGAGCTATTTGTGCAGTGACGTGGGCACACTGGTTTCACCCTCTTACTCCCATTCATTTTCTTGAGCATCAGTGTGGTCGTCACTAATGGTGGGCGGTCAGGTTTGGCTCACAAGCATATTCCAGGTCCTACCACAGTTGGGTCGGGGCTCGGTACCGGCAGTCGGGTTCCACTCCTGATACCTGGGAAGCTCGAGCAGTGCAGAAATTTGAGGCCGCTTGTGAGTTTTGCCATGTTGTCAGTCACTGAGCTCTTCAATATGGACCAGTCTGCTGCCAGTGTTGTGCTGCCGGAGCTTTCCTGGGGGTGTGCTGGGTGTGCCATTGTGTTGTATTGGGGGGGTTTCCTCGTACTTATGGCCATATTATTATTATACAGGATTTATATAGCACCAACAGTGTGCGCAGCACTTTACAATATAAGGAAGACATTACAATCACAATACAATTCAAGACAAGATGGTAAGGGGGGCCCTATAGTGCTTCTCCTTATTGATTTGCATTCATGCTTTTGAAGAGATTTTGGAATGCCTTTCAAATGTTGAAAGCACCAGCTGAAAACCTGAAACATGTCAGCTGACAATCTTTAGATTCTGGGCAAGAAAAAAGTAAGGTGACAATGCAATGTGTCATTTTAAGTGTCGTGCACGCTCACCCGTCTTCTGTTACCTTCTTGCGTCCCCTCCTCTAGAATCACAGAACGGCCAAGCTGCTGACCATAGGCATAAACCGGCAAGGAGACCCTCGTTGGAGCAGCGTGTCCCGGTGCTGTGCCCTTACCCGCTATGAAGCACAGAAGATCAGCAGTGATGCCTTCGTGGTCCTGAAAGGTTTTAACACGGCTGGAAGCCACCAAGCTGCATGGTGAGTGGTGTCTCTGTGTGATTCTGAACATACATTGGGGGACGTAGGAGCCCAATAGGATAGTTACCCAGCCATTACGATGATGAATGCCAAGTACAAATTGGAAGGGTAAGTTTGGTGTCCTTGGCTGTAAGACTCTGTGCCCTAGGTGGCGTTTTTATACAGCAGGGGAGGGG